CATACTCACATGTATAACAACATACTCACATGTATAACAACTCACATGTATAACAACATACTCATTTTTTAAGAAAAAATGTTATATAAATAAAAACATACAATATGTTAAAATAAAAAAGACCAAGAACTCATTCTGGTTCTGATCAACTTTGTCTATGGTTTGTTCAGTAACAGTAGTTCTTTAGCTTGTTCCTTTTTTTTTTTTAATCTAAACTTTGACCTACCTTTCTTTGTTTATTTTTCAATGCTTTCTGTTTTGTAAATAACCCAAGAACTCGTTGCTGGAAAGTGAGAACCAACTTATACCTGACACTTACTTCTGCAGGTTTTTTTGGAGGCTGCAACAGATTTCATAATTTTCTATATCATAAGACCTTGTGAAATGGTTATTTAATTCTCATTCTTTGTTTTCAATACAAATCTCAGTGCGCCTAACTAATGTACTTAGAACCTGGCTCACGTGGGCATTCATTAGCATCTCACTAGCGTAGTGGTGGAAAATTTGACTCCATATGGTGAGCCTGGTAGTAAGAAGTTGTGCTGCCAACTTGAAGGCATGAGGTTCAAATCCACAAGCTGCTCCTTGAAAGAAAGGTGGACAGTTTCCTCCATGCAATTTGCTGCCTCTGAAAACCCACTGCAGGGTAGCTATCAGTTAGTTCTGACTCACTGGTACATAACAGCTACATACTTGGTGAGCTGCAGAGTCATAGAGCTGTTTCTTTGGAGAGTAATACAAATCATTAACTGATGACACACGACAATCTTTTCATATATTATCAATAAAAATATAAATAATTATAATAGTGGAATTGTGTTTATTTTGACTCTTCCCATGTTGATCCTCAATTATCCTGGTGCTAATATTATTCAATGTCTGCAGATTTTATTTTTGATCTCCTTCTCCCCTTCCCAAATCCCTCAGTTATCCTCATATTTTCACAGTAGCAATCTTATGCAGTATTTGTCCATTCCCCTCAATAGGTGTTCTCTAGACTCATCCAAAGTGTGTAGTATATTATGAATACTTCATTGTTTTTTGAGTGCTACATAGTATTCTGTCATTGTGATATACCACAGTTTCTGTGTGAGATCTGCATAACTGTTGGGAAGAGGAAGGGAAGAAAGGGTGCGGAAGAATGGAGAGGAAGTCACTAGAACAGCAGAGACTGGTGGGAAGATGAGGACTTTAAGAGCACATTAGGGACTTGATGAGGTAATAAAAGTCATAAATAAATTGTAACGAATTATATAAAATATAATGTATATAAATTATTTTATGAAACACAAATGATATGAATGAAATATATGTACAAATAATTGTATAAATGTGAAAGATTGTCCATTGGACCTTGCCCATCATTACCCTGCTTTTTCACCTGGATCCTTCCTATTTGCTTGTAATGGTGATTGATTTTATGAAATATAACGTATGAGAATGAATCAAACACAATGTGAATGAAGAGTAGCATTAAATAGACTGCATATAAACTTTGTAAGTAAATGAATTTATAAAAATAATGTAAAAAAAGATTGTATAAAATACAGTTAAAATTGTTTTAAAGTGTAACTAGTTTGCTAGGTGGTACTACTATGTTTAGTAGCTCTGTGACACTATGTGTGTTTTCATAAATAATGTATCTTAAATATAAAGAAAAAAAGAAGTAAAACAACATACTTTTGCTCTTGCCTTTCTTAAACCAACAGCAAATCAAACAGCCCAGAGCCAGCCATGAGACCACGGAGCATAAGGAAGCCCCCAGGATAACGGCCGACCTCTCAGACATAAGGACAGGCAGGACAGCAAACGATCTGGACCGAACCGTAAAGTTGACACCTAAAAAAGAAAGAAATGTTCTTATAGAAATATATATGGTTGCTATAGTCTCATGTCCAGCTTCTTGGTTAATTTGCTGAACTTATAAATTGAACAGGTATGGAGAGAGAATACAATACAATCCTGCTGCATTCCCTTCCCAATTCCAAACCATGTAGTGCTCCCCTGCTCTGTTCGCACAACAACTTCCTAATTCAGGTATAGGTTCCACATAAGCACAATCAAGTATTTGGGATTTCCTTTCTTTTCAAATTCAGGCACGACTTGTCATGATCCACACATCAAACGCCTTTGGATAGTCAATAAAGCACAAATAGACATTCTTCTGAGATTCCTTCTTTTCAGCCAGAATCCATCTGACATCAGCAATGATATCCCTGGCACCACAGCTTCCTCTAAATCCTTCTTGAACTTCTAGCACGTCCTTATCTATGTAATGTTCCAGCTGTTTTTGAATGATCTTCAGTAATATTTTGCTTGCCTGCGATATAAATGATATTGTTTGATAATTTCCACATTCAGTTGGATCACCTTTCTTTGGAAGGGGAGCAAATATGGATCTCTTCCAATCCATTGGTCAAACAGCCATCCTCCAAATTTCCTGGCACAGACTAGTGAGTACATCCAAGGCTGCATTTGTTAACTGAAACAAGTCAATTGCTGTCCTATCAATTCCTGGGGCTTTATTTTTTGACGATGTCTTTATTGCAGCACTGGAATTGGAGGAAGACTCATCAGTAACATGCATGATACAGATGACATAACTTTGCTTGCTGAAAGTGAGAAGGACTTAAAGCGCTTGTCGCAGAAAATCAGGGAATGCAGTTTTCAGTATGGACTGTGTCTCAGTCTCAAGAAAATAAAGATTTTTACCACTGGACCAATAGTCAGTGATGGATGGAGAACAGATTGAAACTGTCAACAGCTTCAACTTACTTGGATCTACAATTAACACCTTGGTATGAGCAGTCAGGAAATAAGGAAATGCATTGCACTGGGAAAATCTGCAGTTAGGGACCTTTCCAAATTACTGAGGACTAAGGTGCGTCTGATTCAGGCCATGGTCTTTCAGATTACTAGCTATGCATCCGAGACCTGGACAATGAATAGAGATGACAGAAAAAGAATTGAAAACTTTGAGCTTTGGTGTTGGAGAAGAGCACTGAACATTCCATGGATGGCCAAGAGAATGAACAGATAGGTCTTGGACAGGATGCAGCCCAAGTGCTCTTTGGAGGCAAGAACAATGAGGTCTCACCTAACATACTTTGGACATGTTGCTATGAGGTGCTATTTCTTGGAGAGGGACATGATATTGGGAAGAGTGGAGGGTGGGAGGAGGAGAGGAAGACTCTCAACAAAGTGGACTGACATGGTGACTGCTGCAATGAATTCTTGTGTGTCAGGAAGTGTGAGAATGACACAGGAGAAAACAGAGTTCAGATCTTTTGTTCATAGGGTTGCTATGAGTTGTGCTTGACTCAGTGGCAACTAACAACAACAACATTTCATGTATGGAAGGAATACACAGAGTCATTATATAAAAAATAATTGATATTCAGCCATTTCAGGAAGCAACATATAATTAAGAACCAATGTTACTAAAGGAAGATTGATAAGCTCCATCAAAGGCACTGGTAAAAACAAGATTGTGAATTGATAAAATACCAATCAAGGTGCTGTTTTTTAAAAATTATTTTTGTGTGAGTGTACCGTCAAATCAGATCTGACTGGTACAGGAGGAGATTGTCCCTCCTTCCTCGGCAGAGCATCTGGTGGATTTGAACTGTGCTCCTCTGGGATTGTAGTTGCAGCTCCTTACCACTAGGCCACCAGAGCTCCCCTCAATCAAGGTGTTTTAACAAACAGATTTCATATTTGAAGTACTCACTCATTGATGTCAAGAAATATCAAGAGAGATTCCTGGCCAATAAACTGAAGTTGTGTACTGTCCAGCAAGGACCAGTCCATAGCTAACTCTCTAGCAGGTTTTCGGATACAGTTTTAATTGCACAGGAGGAGATTACCCATCTTTCTTCCATGAAGCAGAAGGTAGATTGGAACTGTATGCCTTAAGGCTTGTAGAGCAACTCCTTACCACTAGCCTATCAGAACTCACTAGATCTGTGATTGTGTCCATTACAAAGATAAGTGATCCAACTGAATGTGGAAATTATCAAACAATTTTATTACATCACAAACAAATATAATCTTGTTGAAGATAATAAACATTTGCATTACTTCATCAAGAACTATATGGCAGAAATTCAAGTTGGATTCAGAACAGGGTATGAACTGAAGGATATCTTTGCTGACATTCAGTAGGCTGTGAAAAGACATTTGACTATGCATGTTATATAAGATAACAGATATGGGAATTCCAGACCAGTTAATAGTTAGTACTCATGAAGAACCTCTTTATAGACCAAGAAACTGTTTTCAGATGAAATAATCAGATATTGCATTATTTAGAAACAAGAAAATTGTGTGTCTTGGTTATATTCTTTTAGCATTCTTATTCAATCTGTATATTGAGAATGGTCTGGGAAACTAGACTGTTTGAAGGAGAACATGACTTAAGTGTTGGAGGAATACTCAAGAACAACCTGTAATACACAGAGGAACTGTTCTTGTATATAGAAATTGAAGATAATTTGAAGCACTTACTATGAAAATTAAAGACGGTAGACTTCAATGTGGACTATATCTCACTACAGCAACTGGAAGAGCAGCTTCTAAAGAGCTAGGTCTACTCCCAAATCTCTGAAATCTACATATGTTATTGTATCTGGAAAAAAAAATCTCAGCAGATGTATCTAAATGAAGCATACTGTGAGGAAAGCATCAGAGATTACCTTGGCCAACCCTAAATTCAATGGTATATAT